CGAAAACGTGTATGGAACAATATTTTGCTCACATGTCACCTATCTGTGTGTGGAACAATATTTCACACACATGTCACCTATCTGTGTATGGAACAATATTTCACACACATGTCACCTATCTGTGTATGGAACAATATTTCACACACATGTCACCTATCTGTGTATGAAACACTATTTCCCACACATGTCACCTATCTGTGTATGGAACAATATTTCCCACACATGTCACATATCTGTGTATGGAACAATATTTCACCTACATGTCACCTATATGTGTATGGAACAATATTTCCCACACATGTCACCTATCTGTGTGTGGAACAATATTTCACCTACATGTCACCTATATGTGTATGGAACAATATTTCCCACACATGTCACCTATCTGTGTATGGAACAATATTTCACCTATATGTCACCTATATGTGTATGGAACAATATTTCCCACACACGTCACCTATCTGTGTGTGGAATAATATTTCACATTCATGTCACCTATCTGTGTATGGAACAAAACGTCACCTACATGTCACCTATATGTGCATGAAACGATATTTCACACACATGTTCCCTATCTGTGGATCAAACAACATTTCACCTATGTGTCACCTATCTGTGTATGGAACAATATTTCACACACATGTCACCTATCTGTGTAAGGAACAATATTTCACTCAGATGTAACCTATCTATGTGTCGAAAAATATTTCACCTTCATGTCACCTATCTGTGTATGGAACAATATTTTCTTACATGTCACCTATCTGTGTATTGAACAAAACGTCGTTTACATGTCACCTATATGTGCATGGAACGATATTTCACACACATGTTACCTATCTGGGTATCAAACGATATTTCACCTTCACGTCACCTATCTGTGTATGGAACAATATTTCACACACATGTTACCTATCTGTGTATCGAATACTATTTCACCTATATGTCACCTATCTGTGTATGGAATAATATTTCACCTAAGGTCACCTATCTGTGTATGGAATAAAATATTGTATGAAACAATATTTCGCACACATGTTACCTATCTGTGTATCGAATACTATTTCACCTACATGTCACCTATCTGTGTATGGAACAATATTTCACACACATGTCACCTATCTGTGTATGGAATAATATTTCACACACATGTTATCAATCTGTGTGGGCAATAATATTTCACCTATATGTTACGAAAACATGTATGGAACAATATTTCACCTACATGTCACCTATCGGTGTATGGAAAAATATTTTACCCACATGTTATCTATTTGTGTACGGAGTAATTTTTCATCCGCATGTTACCTATATGTGTATGGAATAATATTACATTCACCTATTACCTGTCTGTGTAAGGAATAATATTTCACCCACATGTTGCTCATCTATGTATGGAATAACAGTTTAGCCAAATAATACTTGACCATGTATGTTTCACGAGACGATGGTGTCATGTGTCTGTATTAGGTTTACCCCTAATAATAATACACACACTGAAGTGACTTAATGTTGAGATGGCGGCTCGTTTTGATCTAGCGGTATTCTACAGCACTAACGACCATCCAACATTTCTTCAGGGAAAAGGCAGATCAAATTATAGGCTCCATAGAATTAATACTATTTCTGAGCACAATTTGACCAGACTTCCTCATCACTTGTTAGCCCTTAGACTGGAAATGATCTCAATACCAGTCCAACAAACACAGTATCAGTATGAATCTAATCTGAGAACAATGTATACAGAAACTTAAGTAAAGTGAACTGTGAAACACCAGACACCAGCAATAGTAAGTTCCATATAATAAAGCATGATGTGATAATTTCAAACAATTAAAAAGAATCTCATAGAAATAATAGTGAAGAATTGACCAAAAAAAAAAAAAAAAGCACTATCAAAACAAAGATCCACATTAGTCAAGAATGATCCCTTGTCTGCTAAATGTCACTGTAATGCTCATCACTGATTGAGTAACAGGTAGAGGTAACTATGGGCACTAAGTGTCTGGGTAACTGTACCCTTGTTCACAAAGGAAATACTTTCAGAAAGATGAGCAGAGATGAACCCGCCTCTATCCTCAGTCCTTATGGTGAAACTCCTCAATTGACAAGTCTGCACATGTTGAGAGGTGGCAGTTCTTTAACCAAGCGTATTTAGCCCTATAACTGTGTGACCAAAATACTTTCTAGAGGAACATTAAGAATGTTAAGCAGATATATATCCAGTTGCTAGAGGATCCCTATAAGTATGGACATGTCAGGTCTATGGAGGCCAGGCACTGTCATCTCAGCATTTGAAACTGATTTATGTATAAATGTGGGTTAAGGGTACATGGGATATAGTGTTTACTGTTTGTTTACCCTATATTTCCATTGTGTTTGCAGTATGCATACTGACCTCTCTGGGAGCTGTATCAGGATCATAGTCCACTAGATCCAACTGGGTACAGCCATCACCCACCCACCAACCATCAGCAATCAGCTACAAGTTACCACTGGAATCTACCAGCTTCCAGCATCCCGATATATGTAGTGCCACTAGCCAAAGCCTGATGATATTTACATTTTGGAACCTTGTTCCTTAAACATTTTAAGTATTCACTCCACCTTGATCTTCTGTAGCATGCTCTTGGGTCATTGACTGAACGAGCAGTGGTAAACTTCTGAGTCTTTAGCCATTCTAGGGCTTTTGTCACAGCCATGACCTCCATTGTCATGCTGCTGGTGGTAAAAGCAAAAGCTGCACTATCTTCTTTAATGACTTTCCGTTTGATTCTTGGCGTGAATGCTAATGCACCTAGCTTTGTTACTAGTTGACCTACAGTCCAATTTTCATGGGTGTGATTACTTATCGTATTGTCCATGCCCTGTGGCATTGCTAGTTAAATCTATTCTTAACCCTTTGTGTCGTTTACTTTAATAAAATCCTATACGAATGTTTCGCATACCTGGTGGTATGTGTAATCATGTCCATACACAAACTTCTGTCTCCTGTACTTTCAATTGATTCTGACACAGATGATCTTCCAAATCATGATGCCAAACGGTCCAGCATCTTTTCTCTCGTTGTCACTCTGCTTCCTTTACCCTCAGTATTTCCCTTTGTCACGATGTACTCTAGTTTTCTCCATCTCATGACATGACCAAAGAAGTTAGACTGTCTTCTTCTGGTGTGGACAATCGGTTATCTTCTTTAGTCAGTTTGTTTCTTTCAAGACATCTTGATTACTCATTTTATCTGGCAAGGTATTTTCGTTATTCGTCTATAAAACCACACCTCTGCTACTTCAAACAAATGTTCACTAATCGCTGTCAATGCTTCTGTAATATCAGGTTCGTATTAATATAGATCTTTAAAATTCTCATTCTCGTCTCAACTGCACAGAATGATTGCATGGAATATTGCTCTTTTCGTTAAATGTTGACTGTGATTATCGTAAGGACATCCTCAACCAAGGATAACTATTGGAATAATCTAAAACTACCAGTCAAGATGCAAAACACAGACAATCTCTTTCGTATATTGGTTACGGGGCATGTAATCATATACACAGGGTGCTTTAATGTTTGAAAAGGTGCCCGTTAACACTTCAGTGAAATGAGAAAATGTTATTGTTTAAAAAGGAAGAGAATATTTCGATAGGATACGTTTGACTTTTAACAAATTATAATTTTTTTATGCATCCCTTCACACTGTCATATTGTGACAATATATGTCACATAGTGGTGGCAGTCTATACCTCTATTTCATTGTATACTGTACAATCACCTCGACATCAAGGATGGAACCCAGTCAGCACTTTCAGCCTCTCTCCTCAACGTTCGGCTTAGGGTTTCGTTTTGGACCTTATCGTTTCCTCAGTTTCCCTGTCTCTCATTTAAGTGCCTATTTTATGATTCTCTGTTCGTCCCTTCTCATAGTTCCATATAGCACCATCTTCTTTGTCTTTTAACTGTTGACACTAGTGGTGGCCAAGAGATTTCACTTTTTTTTTCTTCGGTCGTCTTGAATGCATACTATTTTAATTTGCAAATTGTAACATTTTGATTTTGCATACCTGTACGTTTTTTTTCCCCTCTTTTTTTAACCAATAGTTTATTCACTATCACTACTATCGCTAACACAGGTGTTATCCTTCATATCCGGATGATTTTTCAACCAATAGTTCATTCACCATCACTACAATCGCTAACACAGTTGTTATCTTCCATATCTGGAAGTTGTTTTAACCAATAGTTTATTCACTATTACTGCGATCGCTAACAAAGTTGTTACCTGGAAGCTGTTTTAACCAAAAGCTCATTCACTATCACTGCAATCTCTAACACAGATCTCTATCCTAAAGCAGTTAAACCTGTGTCGTGGCAGGTAACAATTTATTTAGACCGGTGTTTCCATTCACTTTTTATGTTATCACTTAATAAGACTCTGACTAAATTTGTTGTATCTATGAGCATTTTAATACATCCCCTGGTTAGGCTTCCACATCATATCTGTGTTTTGTGAATTCGTTGCTTGACATCAGCTTGAATGCAGTCACACATATTTATAGCTATTAATTACCATTTCTCCAACGAAACATACAGTTTTGTGGACAGTCATTCCCTAACATTTTCATATGGAACCGGCTCATTATCTTTTACGTCCTTGTCTGATGACGCGCCGGCCACGTCGGAGCAGGACGATTATTGACGTTTCCGGCGATAATCAAACACAATTTTGACAGAAAAACCGGAACAATACTTTTTTTCTTCAAAAGATGAATGTTTGCGTGGATGAACATTGATAATAAACTGTATTTCTTTTACATTTGACCGAATGCAACAGGAGACAGCAAAAGTAAAATTAAAGTACGTTTTTTTTTAGCTGATGCTGTATTTGACATTGTTGTTTAACGTGCCACGGTTGTGGCTGTACACTGAAGACTGTTCAACAACCGACCAGTAGCAAGAATTCAAGCATTACCGATGACTAACAAAAACTAAATTTGTCAGCGTTATCATATGTTTCGACGGGGGATGACTTTCTCTGTGTCATTGCTGTAATTATTGATCACATCTACAATCCAGTTCTTATAAGACAGGATATTCGAGAGAACTATTCCTTCGCTGGGAATTGTGCAGCCAGATATTGAAGCTGAGACGATGCCTGACAGGATATGTGTTTCTGCAATATATACATTTACACATGTATGTTTGGGCGACAAGCAGATGATTGAATGGATAAATGAATGGATTAATGGATATGTGGATGGATCAATGGATGGGTGGATGAATGAATGAATGGTTGGATGTGCTGATTAGTGGGTGAATGAATAGTTGATGGATGGACTGATGGATGGACTGATGGATGGATGGATGAATCGATGGGTGGATGTGATGATGGTTGGGGGAATGGATGAATGGGTGGATGAATGGATTGATGCATGTATGGAAGACAGATATGTGGATGGTGAATGGAAGGCTAGCTGGAATGATGGGTGAGCTGAAGAATGTCTCGCTGACTGGATGGGTACACTGATGAATAAATGAATGCATGCAATATTTGACATCAATGCACTCGGGGCATTACCACTAGTGCTTTATCACATTCATCAATAGGCAGTTAAGAGTCGACGTGATAACAGTGTCAGTTGCAGCCTGATAAAAAATTAACCTGTTTCCCTGTCAATAATGAGTATCTTCCAGAACCTCTCATCACCCCTCCCCCTCCTTTATTTTTTACCAGTTTCGCCGTTGAATTAGTCTTTCAATGTATGAATTCTCTTTTTATTCTGTTGTACTGCTCACTTGATCACAGAGAACCTTCACCAGGTCCGCTCTATCAAACTCTAGTTCATCGATAAGAGTAGCGGCAGCAGCCAGTATATCAGCCTTTTTATTACCCCGTACACTCAAATTTCATGTACAGAAAAACCCAACGATATTCTCCTGTTCTGCTTCTTATGAAGAGATTCAAGCTACATTACATGTAAAACGCCCGTTAAAATTGTTCTGATGCATGCTCTGTGAGTCCGTTACAATTACAACAGTGCGGACAGTGCTACACTCATCTATTCATGAATGCCCCTTACAAGGTGAACCAATAGGGATGTTTCCTTCAAAGCCGGAGTGCTTTTGCCTGAGAGGCAAGGAACCAGCAGTCTGCAAATAAAAAAAAAACCAGATTTGTAAAACCAATGTTCATGAAAAACCCATTTTGTTTTGAACATCACCAAAGTCGAGAAGTCGGCGAACCATCAGAACTTTTTGGCGGAGTTTGAAGGAGAGTTCAAAGATAACCAAAACTGTCTACTAGATGGAGAGATACTGAATCTACCTCCAGACTGAAAAGTGACAGGTCCTCCATAGTCCCCCTTACAAGCGTCACCTTGTCCTCTATCTTGCCTGACGCACATGTTGCGTGCGGTAACCAGCCCAGGGTAGCAGAATGTAGCACAGCGTGTTAGACTCATGACTCGTACAACAATTGTCTTCAGCTCGCTGGGGTGCTGAGTCAACACTGAAAAACATAGAACTGATAAATCATTTATGTGGTTGTTTGTATGCATCATTACTCACAATAATACGGTTGTGCCTAGACTTTAGAGCCCAATTCGTTTCTGACTGCAGATCTTGAAAGGTTCATATTTCGAAACACAATTTTTATATTTTATATTGGACTTCCGGTCAAAATGGACGTTAGGCAGCGGCACTGTTCGAAACAGAGACAATTTTTTTGCTTCTGGAAGGACAGTGGCCGATGCATTTTTACTCCATTTGTAGATTGGATATAGTTTCGTCGCCCAGCCTCTGAGTTGAATGCATGGCGTGACCCTGTGAGCTGCGGATTGCATTTGGAATGTTGTTTCGACTGTGACCAACGTGTTGGTGTGAATTGTAGATTCAGAAAATGGCGCTACGCCTGTCGTGCAGTGTTGTGGTACCCGTATGTGATTAAAATTGATCGCGTGGGCAACTGCTGATCTGTTGGCGACTTCTGCTACCATCAATGATGAACTGCAATTCTAATACTGTGATAAATATTCTGTGTGTTTTTCGTTGGCACATGAGCGGAGCAAAGATGGGATGACCCGTTTGCTATGAAGCTAAAACTAAGACTACCAGACTAAAAGACAATTTTTATATTACATCGTACTAGTCATTCTCAGATTTAAAAAAAATATAATGATATATATAATCATGTGGATGGAAAGTTCCACGACAGAGCTTTTTAATACAACAGGTCGCATTTTAGGATGCACAAGCTGCTTTCAGTTGAATACCATTGATCCAGACGGGTAGTAAACTTTGCAGTTTTCCAATAATTGATTTTTGTTTCTTTCTTCGAGTTGGCACGAGATATACTCCTTTTGCCACATCCAGTTCTTTATAACAACCTGCTTTTGTGAGAACTGAACTATGGCAGACATTTGGACATGTCGTACTTATTTTTTTTTTTCTGTATCTATTTCCGTATTTGTTTAATAAACCAATGCAATCAGTTTGCTTGCAAGGGTAATAGAATCAAACTGTTTACATTATTAGTTGGATGTCAGGTATCATTTCTAACGTAGGAGTATAGTAACGTAAGAAAAATGAGGCGAACGCTTTGGCTAACTTTTATCTCTGTGTAGTTCCCCCCAGAACCCCCCCCCCCCCGCCCCCCTAGAAGTATATAAAATTCAAATAATGAGGGGTCTTTCCTTCGAAACAAAAGTCCATCATACTGAGAGGCAACAATTTGCTTACAAATAAGCCAGACTGTACAATGGATATGCAAGTAAAACTAAATTTCCGAAACAAGACTTACGTCTTGAAGTGACTTTCTGCCTGAGTTTAAAGCCGGTAAACACAAAGAAGAAGATGAAGGTATACCCAATAGGCATGTAGTGTATAAATGGTCCTTAACTTTAAAAAACAGAGGTACAGCTTCTTAGACAAACAGGGAAAGGGTTGCTATTGTGATGGAAAAAAAAAAAAAACACTTTGACGACTGGCAAAAAACATAAAATGGATTTCTTACGCTCGGTTTGATATCCCCATCCAAAAAGTTTCAACAGTCTTCCAGCTGCCTTGTTCTCTCCCTCCACGGGTAAACAGATGGGTTGAACATAATCGTTGAACTTAATTCCGCAGCCATTAACTTTGACTAACGCCAAATCATAATCAATGCTCCCACCTGCAGATGTTCAACATAAATGTAGCAAAAAAGATCACTTTGCTACAAGATAACGACAACGCATAATATTTCGAATAAGTAAAGATCTCTATTTACGCTCTGGGAGCTTTGGGCATATGGGAAAAGCATCCCATATTTTTACAGACCAATAGTCACTTAATGGGTTATGTGGTCAGCATTACACCAGCTGTCTTTACTTCCACAGAACAGCCATCCTGGCACCCATTTTAAGCTGGGTCTACCTGCTACATCCCATTCCATGATAAAAACCGACGCAGCCAGCAGTGGGTTTCAATGGCGGTACGTTGAAATTACAATTCGGGCTTTCAACGCCTAGGCAACGGGCGCCGAAATATTTCGAATGCAACTAAAATAATACCATGCACACACGGAGTTATTAAAATATCTACGTTTCTTTAGAAGGAAATAGACTGTCTGTAAGCGGTGACCTCATAATTTCCTGCCTTCTACAGACCTGCCCTGTGCAGTGTTATACAGACCGAGCGACACATGAGAAGACATCGGCAACATGTGAATATTTCATGCATCCAGTTAGGCGTTTATCCGTGCAGAACGACCAAATTGTTTTAGATGGCTTTGAAACCTGCAGCACAACTAAACGATATGAAGCTTTTTGCAGATTTGTAGAAATTAGTCTTACGATGAATCTTTAGACCCATACCAATTTTAAAACAGCAAACAGCGGGAATGGAGAGTGAGAAAAAACAATTCTGTTTCTTATTTCAGATATGTATGTATATATATATATTTATTTTTCTTGACAGTCTGCTTCATCATCTTCTCGAGTCGCCTAAGATATTAAATGAAAAAAAAAAAAAAAAAACTATTTTCAAAGGGTTACAAATTACATTCTGCCCTTCCAAGCACTCTTCTCTAAGATCAAAATTGCATGTTATAAATAAAGCATGTTATGTTGATTTAAAAATGTACATGATAAAATAATGCACACACACACACACAAACACACACACATGCACACATACATCACGTATACATAATCATACACTCCCGGTATACGCGTACTCATAGACTCGTATATGCCCAAGCATACAAAGATACAAGCACACCTATATACATACTTAAATAAATACACACACGCTCGGGCTAAAAAAACACACACCCTCAAACAAAAAAACATACATGCAGTGTTGCTCATGCAGAAACACACAAGCACCCACACTCATGCGTACATAAACATGCACTCAATACAGATGGCTGTATTTAGCCATTAGAGACAATAAACATAATTAAAAATAGTAGTGTAATCCCCGTGTGAGTTTTGATGCATCGTTAAAAGATTTAAAGAAATAAACTCACTGCCTTCCTTATAAGCACGTTGAAAGAATCGACTAAGGCTTTAGTGAAATAAAGTTTAAAATGGAATGGATCGTCTTCATTGAACCGGGTTTAATTCCCTATTGCTCAATCTCTCTTCGCAGAATGGCTTGCCAAGAGCGCCGCACAAAGTACAGACCCCGTAACTCTGGCGACGATCCCCAGCTTTGCTGAAATAGACTCCGTTGGACTGCCATGTGGTATGCCTTTTGAAATGAGCACATGATACGGGAATTATGAATCTGAGTTCATAGTATTCATCCACATACATTTACTTTTCTAGTCAATATATTTTAAGAAGCTTAACATAATCCTTTTAGGTGATGAACGAGTGATTCAACAGGTACAGAGAGCAAAGTTACCGTACAGTCCGTTAAAGATGGTTTGCTTGAAGCGAAATGTGTGTTGCCCCGTGTCTTCACTATTAAAACTGTTAACCCCAACTACTGCCGTGTAATTAGCATCGAGCCCAGTGCTGAAAGT